TGTGCTCTTCCCAATTTTTAATTATTCATGTACTGGCGTGCTTGTTTAACCAGTCACGATTCCATAGCATGCTGCGAACAAGGATCTATCTCTCCGTTTGCCCATTTCCTCAGTATTTTCACCCACATGTGGCACTTGATGCACATTATCTAAATGGATGGAGTGAGTATAAGCTCTTTGGATAGGTGTCTTATCCTTGTTTGTTGTTGTTTAATCTCTAAGCTGTGCCCAACTCTTGCAACCCCATGGGCTGTAGCCCGCCAGGCTCCATTGTCCATGGGATTCTCCAGGAAAAAACACTGGGGTGGGTAGCCATTTCCTTCTCCAGGGGATCTTGCCCATTATCCTTAGAATAATTTAAATTCTCAGGTTTCCATGGTAATGCTGATTTTTTCAAACAATATATTATTAAGATGTTGCAGGAAGGTGGTTTCGTTCTTTGAGACAGTTTCAGTCTTTTCTCTAGAGACAGGACACGAGTACAGCAGTGTGGGGACACGGCAGGCTCCATCCTGCCTTTGAACATCTCCCCAGCCCTGGGTGAGGACAGCTGCTCGCCATGATCATGGAGGGGCTCCCGTGGCCTCACCAGCCATCCTGTCTGAGGAGTAAAGGTCCTGCTTTAGAGGTTAGAACATTTATCTGTGAAACCATCTGCTGTCTCATGCCGTCGACATGGGGAAAACAGGATCTGTTTGCTCTCCCTCCCGGGGGAGCTCAGGCCCACCCTTAGGGGATGGCTCCTGGCAGCCACTTCCTGCTCAGACTTGGGAATCCTGAAATCTTGGCAGCCCAAGCTGGTGCTGCTGCCTCCTGGGGTCTCTGCTTCCCTCAACGTCAAGGCAGCTCTTCATGGTCAGGTTTTCAACAGTCCTGCTGGTCCCAGCCTTTCCTTCCCCCTTGGGTATGAGGTACAGACATGAGTTCAGAAAACTCCTGGGACAGATCATGCCTGGCTAGCGCGAGGGCTTAATTCAGACCGACCAAACTCGAGCTGTGTGACCTCAGGCAAAGCAAGCAACTTCTTTGAGTCTCATGTGTGAACCTGGGAATAATACTGATGCTACAGGTTGTGAGCAGAAGCTGAGCAGCCTGGCAGGGACTGTGTGCTCAGTGAAGGTTACTTTCTTCTCCTTGAGCAAGACAGTCACCACAGTTACCAACCACACTAAACCCAGAGGCTTCTTCCCGCTGCAGGTGGGGGTGGGGGCTGGGCCCACGGAGGCAGGAGAACCCTGCACTCAGGCTGCCAGCCCCCAGCACTCTGCCGGCTCCCTTCACCTGGTCAGGTCAAGGTCAGGAAGACTTCTGGGGGCAGCTGTGGGTGGGCAGACCTAGGAGGAGGAGGTGGTATTGGCCCAAACTTCAAGAGAAAGAATCTAATAAAAACTGTGTAAGTATCTGAACAACTTACTCATGTTAGGCACTTTGCAGGGGCCCAGGCATGGGCAGAAGGAAAGAGTTAAAGACAGCTGAGGTCAGCACATGGCCCACATTGTTTTGATCATCGCATTTGACCTTTTGAGAGATCGGCAGAGTTTGGATACCATTCCAAACAGTGACCAGGGCCCAGAGAAGGTGACCTCGGTCTTCTGTGAGTGTGTGCTTCTGAAGATCATTTCTCAGTGGTGGAGGTAAGTCACAGATTTGGACTGAGCTAAAGGGAGAACCCCTGCCCTCCCTTTTAGCTGAGAAAGATCAGCTTAAGACCTTTTTGAGAGCAACTGTAGACTCCAGAACTGAACATGCCTTCAGAGGTTATAATCTAGACTCCTCGTATCCACTGACACCATACAGCTATCGCTCAGAGAGGGTCCCCAAGTCACACAGCAACTTGGGAACTGAGACGGGACCAGAATGGGACCAGAATGAAAAGCAGCTGGAGGGAACAACAAAGGGGGAGAGGAGGACCCTCAGAAGCTGCTTCTCACAGCCTCAGCAGAACCAACTCCCCTTCCCCTTGAGCTTATTTTCCAACCATACAGCCCACTCAGTCTTGAGGGGACCATCCTTCCTCACAGTCCCAAGGCCATCGGAAAACACAAACAAGCATACTTACTGGTTTCCTGTCATCAGAGTCTTGGGGCGGGGGCCCAGCTAAGATGCATGCTTTAGCTGAAGAGGTTGGAGCTCTCGGTGGGGTGGAAAGTCTTCTGGAAGTCTGCCAACGTCCTTGCTTCTAGGCCACCCAGAAACCTCTTGGCCTGTGAGAATCTTCAGGGAGCTTTGGGGAGCTCGGCATCTGCCTGTGGTAGCGGTCTATAGCCCGGGGATGGGACAGGAGCCCCGTGCTCCTCAGAGACCTCTGGCTAGGTGGCCCTGTCAAGTACAGCCAGGTGGGGAAGCAGGACCCGCATCTCTGAGCTCTGCTGCAGGGTCCTTGGGGCTCCCGGCTCACATCTGCAGGCTCTGTGGTTCTCACAACCACCCGTTTCCTCTGACGGCATCACAGACCATCAAGGAGCCACCTTCCCCAAGTTCCTGTTTGTGGGGGAGAAGCAGCTGCCGCGTCACAATCCTGGAGAGAGAGGTTTCTCATCTGGCTCTGGGGTTTGGGTCTGTTCTGAGGGACACAGACCCAAGGTAAATGGGTAGCCAGGCTTCCCTGATCGTCACCATCACCTGAGGGGGCTCACTAGTCTCAGATCCCTGGGACCCTCCCACATCTTCTGAATCCAAGTCAGAAGAGAAGCAGCCCCCAGACTGAATCTTCACCACTCCAAGAGATTCCTCTGGCTGGCAAGTATGGGAAGAAGTGCCATGAAGGGATGTGTCCCAACCTTTACTGTGTCTAGGAAGCCCCTGGGGATCTTGTTAAACAGTAGATTCTGGTTCTGTGAGTCTGGGTGGGGCTCAAGATTCTGCACTGCTAACAACTCCCAGTGGATAAAACCATGTTGACCATCTGGGAGCCGCACTGTGCATAGCAGGACCTGGACAGTGGTTCTTCTAGTGTGGTCCCTAGGCCAGTAGCCTCAGTATCATCTGGGACTTCATTTCATAGGAGGATTCTCAGGGCCCATGTTAGATCTACCTAATCAGAAACTCCAAGGTGAGGGCCAGCAACCTATCTTCACAGGCCCTCCAGGTGGTCCTTATGATGCATTCCCTAACCTTGAGACTCACTCTGCTAGGATGACGAATCTCTGATAAAACTGTCTCGGATTGGTGTGCTTAAATCAGTTATTAACATTCAAATAAATTTAAATAAAAACCTCAGCTCATTAGCATCTAAATAATCACACCCACTCGTTATCTCCCCTTTAGGGGGCTTAGCAATCCTGGAGACAGATGCTTTGAACACAAAACTGTCATTCACAGACAATGCAGCCTGTTTTGGGGCCTTGCTGTACCTGGGCTCACAGTCTTCCCTTTCTCCTGGGGAAGGATTGTTTGAGATTTAACTACTGAGGCATGTGGCATGGAGAGTGGAGGGCCAGAGTGGAAGGGCCTCCCCTCTTTAAGGAAGTTCTAACCAGCATGCTAGAGTGGGTGACAGCCCCCCAAGGATGTGGCCTGTGGCTGGGAGGGACCTGATCGCAGGCCCAACCCCCTGCTCTTGCTGCCACACCACTATGATGTCCATCTTTCCATTTGACAGTCTTTCGCACTGGCCTTAAGGAGCGGTCCATGAGCAGGGAATGACATCTCTGGTCTCAAAATAATCCCACCATATGCCTCCTGTTCCACTCAGGGAGGCACCTGAAAATCAGAGAGTTTAAAGCCTAGATGTGCTGCTCTATTAGTTTCTTGACTATTTTTAAGTTAGTTACCTCTGGGCCTGTCTTCTCATCCATAAAATTGTGATAGGTCTACATAAAATTAGGTCTACCCATAAAATTCCTGGGTCAGAGGAGGGTCACGCAAGATGATGAAAGGGCTCGATCTGCAGTGGGTGCTCAATAAAAGCCTTAATAAAACATGAAAATGCACTGATTCTGGAAGAACTAGGAACCTTGTCGAGTAGGTGTCTCTGGCGACACCACCTGACTTTCCTCAACTGTTCTTTGTAAAATGCACTGCCCACTTCGCAGAGCTGCCACAAGAACTGGGTGAGACAGTTTACACAGAAAAGCTTAACACAGTCATCGTGTGTAGCATCTACCTGGCCACTTCCTTACCTCTCACAAAGTATGCGCTCCAACTTTTTTTTCTTAAAATATTGAATAGAAAGAAAGAAAATGAAAATGAGAAGGGGATGAGTGTGGGAAGGACCAGCTGGGTGTAGTCAGCTGGGGCCTGACTCTAGGCACAAAGCCAAGACAGGAAAGAGGCAGCCATCCGCGCCGTGCAGACGGCTGGAGCCGGGCGGGTTCTCAGAGCAGCCATGGCCATCAGACCACCTGCAGCTCTGCAACTGCGTGTTGGACGGTGTCAGGAACTCAGCGCGGACACCTGATCTGCCCACGGGCACTGGTTTTCTGTCCTCTACTAGGACTAGGAGGGGCAGGGTCGAGTCATTTTACAAGTACCTCCCACAGACACTGCGACCTGGGTGTACTGGGAGCCGCCGCCCCTGGATCATTCAGAACTGATCTAGGATAGCCACCCCCCTGGAATTATTCTTGGGGGGCAGGGTACAAAGAGCCCCTTCTAGAGAAACACAGCCTGGTCTGTTGGTGGCGCCCTGGCAGGTGGCTGCGGATTACTGCACGAGGGGTGGGACGCGGCAACCGCGCACGAAGGGCAGAGCTGAGACGCTGAATGCCTTCCTGAGACCTCAGCTTCTCCTCCATCACAAACCACACGATCAAGCTTCTTACGGTTTTTCGTTTGAGGGGAATACAGGTGTGTCAGGTGGACTCAGGGTTCAATCCCAGCTGGCTTACTGGCATGATGATCTCAGGCAGATGATTAATCCCGGGACTTGGTTTCCTCACTGTAAATGGATGGTGTCGCTGGGTGGATAATCATCAGGTATGTGACCCAGTATGAAGCCCATGTGCAGTCCCCACCAGAGCCCAGGAAGTGGCTTGAGAGAAGTCACACCAGCCACTGGGTAACAATGAGACATATACAGCTTTATTTCGTCATCTGTAAAAAGTCGTACTCCGGCAGAGTGATGCATTCCCTATCTGAGCAGAAAGCGAATGCTATGTCTGAAAAGCCCCTTCCTAGGACTGAAATTGTGTAACCCTGAGCTGACATCTCTGTGCTGTCAAAGCGGGACCCTTACTGGGTGGCAACTGTTTTCACACTCCTCCTGGAGACACTCTCTGGGTGGCTGTGACCCCCTCATATAGCAGCAGACCGAACACAATTCTACCTGGATGGGGTGCCCTTATGGCCCCTTCCCTCTTACAAGAGGGAGTTCACAGGATTAACTTTCTGAGAAATGGGTTCTATCTTTCATTTAGGCTCCATTAAGTCTTCTGAAATCAAGGTTATACTTATAAAGCATCATATTGTGTTGTCTGTTCCTCTCTCTCCAGCCATTTCCTCAACATCTACATAATTTTCAGGCCATACTTCTCCCTTCTGGGGGAATGGAAAGATGGAGAGTTCTTCTCCTGGGAGGTGCCTCCTTCCGATGTCTGGTGTGTGGCATCAGACACTGCAGAGAGATCAATTTTGCTCTGACAGAGCAGAGGCCTGGAATTTCGTTTTCCACCTTCCTGCGCTAAGAGAGTCTAATAATTAAGCCACACTCATTCCTTCAGAAAAATGCCACATTGCATCAGAATGTCATCGTTCATGGGCTTCTAAGAGAACATATCCCTTCCTTTTATTTGTAGGGCACATGAATTCAACTGGACAGGAGAAGGTGGCTGGCCACCTGGCCTGTTTTTCTATGTAGCAGGCTTCCTTCTGTTGGTCATAATCAACTGTCCAAACAGGATTGTGATTTTCCACCTTCCTCAGATCTGCTCTCTCCTGAAGTCACTTCGCAAATCTTGACCATCAGCAAGGAACCGAAAGAGAATGTAATGGCCTACTCAACCTAGAAAACTGTTCTGCATATTTCTCCTAAAAACACCACTGAAAATGCAAAAAAAGAGAGTCCCTTTTTTTGTTTTTGTCTGCAGAAGCTCTACAAGAAAGCATGTCTAAAATCACAAAACTATGCACACACAAACACAGACACGCGTGCTCACACACATACGTCAGGATCAAAGAATCTTAGATACATAGTTGGGAAAGCACAGGGAAAAGCTGGTAAGAGAAGATATGGAGATCTGATCAGCTAAAGAGGTTGGAATGTTACAGAAATGGCATGGAAGTGGTTCTTGGTACATACAAAAAGGGGGGTGGGCAGGCAGAGAGGATGATAAATCCAGGATACCAGAAAGAGAGAGTCAGTGGCCATGCAGGAGTTAAAGATAGATGCCAGGTTGCTGGATGAAGTGTTATATTATGGAGTGGCTGTTTGAAGGAGGATGGACTTGCATGGTCCTGGGGAGGAGCATTTGCTTAGCAGGACACCTCCATGGTCTGGTGTCTGTCCAGAACATCAGGGGACTCAGAGGATTCTTGAGTTCCGTCTGACTGATTGCTGGCAACAGATCGGCTGAAGGCACTTTCTCCAGAGCCGATGCTACTTGAGGTGGAGTGGGTTCGGGATCGGGCGAGCCGGGTCATGCTGGCAGATGGGACTGCAAGAGAGAACGGAGAGGACTAGAGGATAGAGCTGTGGTTAAGCTCAGCTAACCCAGAAGTTTCACCAAAGGCTTTACATGTAGCTTTCCCAACCCATCATCTAAGGTGACACCAGGATGAGACACAGCCATCCCACTTTGCTCTAGGTGAGGGGCTCTAGGCAAGGCTGCTTTAATCCTCTGGATCTGGCTGAAATCTCAGATGGTTCTAGTCTATAGCAGAACAATGGGTAAACTAAGTCCAGAGTATAACCTCTTAGCTATGCCCATGCCATCCATACGGTGATTAGGAAGAAGGCTTTGGGAACCCAAACAGGTAACCAAAACCTGTGATGCATGCAAGACTAAACCAAAGAAAGACAAATCACACCACACAAGTACGAAGGTGTTTCACACACACAGTGCAAGCCCGATACAACAAGACTACCATCCGTGTCCACAGGTGACCCTTGCTACCTGGGGAGGAGACATGTAGGCAGGTGAGGGGCAGGGAGGGCAGGTGGGCCTGGAGTTGGCCTCTACACAGGCACCGAGGTGCAGGCTGACTGGGAGAAAGCCCACCAGGGGTCTATTTAAGTCAGACTTCTGTTGTGCCACTGGTCTGGCTGTAAGTCCTTCCAGCTTGGCTAGGAAAGGGCCTAACCTGGCCTACCTCCCTGCCTGTCCTTCTAAGACATGAGCCACTCCTCCAGCTGTCATTTCAATGCCGGGGTCAGAAGATGCCAGTACCTGCATTCTCCGGGCATAGGCTCCGACCCTCGTAATTGAGAACCCTGTGTCTGGGAGTTAACTCAAGGATCACTCAGTAGGTGGTGGTGGTGGAAGAAGGGCTCCCTGTGAAGTTTCAGCTGCTGCTGTGACCCTGGCTGTTACAACCCATCCCTTTACTCCTGGGGGACCAGGGCTGGACCGGCAGGCTACCTCTCTCGGGGCACAATGAGCCGCGTTCTATCGGGCTCTCACCGCACAGGGAAACCACGGACATGCTGCGGGCAGCCAGTGCAGCCAGGAGAGCATGGCTGGGAGGCGGGCGCGGGGCCAGCACAGAGGGAGGTACCTGACTCGGTGCTCAGGTGACTGAGCTGCACGTACGGGACTGGAAGCAGGATGGACACAGGAAAAGGCAGGTTAGTGACCCGAGAGTGCCAAGTGGTAAACTTGGCTACCTGGCAGACACTGACAGAACAAACTAAGCCAGGGGTGAAGTTTTATTCTAAGGTCCCAGAAAGGAGGAAAGGCCAACTGATGCTTCAATAACATCTCGGACGGTACTTCTCTCAACTAATCAAAGGCAACTGCTTTTCCCTCACTATAAACAGCCAACTTGCCTGGATGAACTGCTTCCTGGGAAAGGAGAGGGACTTCCACTCCTCCCAGTGAGCCAGAGGGACAGGGGTGTGGGCTCGGTTGGTAGTGGCTCACAGATGGGGATGACACGGCCACTCCAGACGAGACATACACGGGCTGCCTGCCAGGTACAGGCCTGTACCCAGGGGTCCAGCTGCTGCCCAGAGCAGCTGCCCAGGGGTCATTAATCACACTGACACCAAAGACAGGAGAAAAATCACCTTACTGGATACAGAGCTCTGTACCTGGGTAGAAGGGTTTTTATCCTTTTTTTAAAACTCCAAGAAAGGAGACAGTGAGGATTATCCTGGGACAAATGAGAAAGCTCAGGGGTCTCACAATACAAGAGACCAAGACAGTAGCACATGATACGACACATCCTTGGATTCACTCTGAAACACTCTGCAAGTTTGTCTCCTGTGGGGAGCAGACTTCACTGATTTAACTTGTTTCTCTAGGCCAGGAGTCATCCATCTAAGTTCAAATGGAAGTAACAACCTCAGATTCACAGCCAGGACTGCCGAAGTCTCAGTGGTTGAACATGTGGACTCTGTAGTTAAGACTGCCAGGGTTTGAATCATGGCTCTGCAGCTGAATTGTTATCCTGAGAAACATGCTTAGCCTCTAAGCCTCAATTTCCTCTTCTATAAATTGGGACTAATAGCAGAACTTACCTTTTAAGGTTAAGAATACAGAGTGCCTGGCACAAAGTAAGTGCTCAGTAAGCATTAGCTCATCTTTGTATATATGTGCAGAATAATCTTTCATAAAAAATTTTGGTTTCTACTTGACTTCAGCCTGGCTAGCACAGAGGTTACGCCCTGAGAATTGAGTGCTCCTCAGATGCCAAAATGACCCCATTTATCAATAAATCTTGGTTAGAATAGAAAGTTGTATACTACTCACTGTAGCCCATTCCCTGCAAAAAGTACTTGAAGGCCTCGGTGAGCTTCCCAGGCTAGGGAGACAAAAGAAGCAGCTATTAATCACTGCACGGACAGAGAGCTGAAATCAAATGGGTGCTTTTTTTTTTTTTAATTTTTTTTTATTATTATTTTTTTTCCATTTATTTTTATTAGTTGGAGGCTAATTACTTTACATCATTGCAGTAGTTTTTGTCATACATTGAAATGAATTAGCCATGGATTTACATGTATTCCCCATCCCGGTCCCCTCTCCCACCTCCCTCTTCACCCGATCCCTCTGGGTCTTCCCAGTGCACCAGGCCCGAGCACTTGTCTCATAAATGGGTGCTTTTTAAAAAGTCTCCTTACCTGAACCACTTGGGGTAGTCCACCACAGTCTGCCATCTACAGGGAAAAACATTTAAGTCACCTGAGAACTGAATACACTTGAGGGAAATGCTCTGAGTATCCAGGGTCCTGTCAAACAGGACAGAGTCAAATTTTAGGTTCCTTAATTCAATGTTTAACTGCACCCCAGTGTCCATCTTCTCAATGCACTCTTTTTGTTTTTTAGTTAATTAATTTATTTTTGGTTGCACTGGGTCTTCATTGCCTCACTCATGCTTTCTCTAGTTGTGGAAAGCGGGGGCTACTCTCTAGTTGTAGAACGCAGGCCTCTCATTGCGGTGGCTTCTCTTGCTGTGGAGCGTGGGCTCTAGGGTTTGTGGGCTTCAGTAGTTGCAGCAGTTGAAGCTTAGCTGCTTCATGGTATGTGGGATCCTCTCAGATCAAGGACTGAACCATATCCCCCCTTCACTGGCAGGCAAATTCTTTACCACTAAGCTACCAGGGAAGTCCGTCCTCAATGTGCTCTTATACCCAGACCTAAATTCTAGCAATAACTTTGGATATAATTCTGAAAGATTATTCACTATTTATTAATCAGTAGTGCAGGGCCCGGCTTTCAGGTCCGTTTCAGGAATTTTCCACTCGAGTGATAATAAAGTTAACTACTACCTTGGTTCTGCCTCTACCTGGAGGATTTACTTTCAGAGTCCTCAAACAGTGTGACCCCTACTTCTCAGGGCACCAAACTCTTAAAAGTTCCCTCTCAACTCTACACTATCTCTACTTCATGACTAAGGGGAGGTCTACGATCAGGCACTGATGCTGCATTCAGCCAACCTGCTTGGTCAGCCACTTTAATTTCACTGCTGGAAGTGATGAGGCTCTCTCTCACTTCATAAATCTTTACACACTGATTACTGTCATCTGCACAAAAATTTCTAGAGTAGGGCTTTGTTATCATGCATGAGAATAACCATGAGGGATTATAACTCCAAGTTCCTGCCTGAGGGATTCTTATTTAATAGCTTTGGAGCAGGGCTCAAGAACTTGCATTTCTAACAAGCCCGGGAGATGCATACTCTGCGAATCCGCAGAGGACGCTGCTTCTGGGGCACAATGGTCAATCACGAGGCCACCTTCTTCCTTCCACTTGTGAGGTTTTCCACACTCACAGAGTAGCGTATCTAGGCACTTTTTAGAAAAGAGACAGGAACCTCAGGAAACCTTCACTAACATGAAAACTTTGAGGGTGGACTGTTATTCTGCAGATGGGAATGCCACAGGAGGCACAGGAATCTGAGGTTAACAAGGAATAGTCAGTTCCCTGAAAATTCTAAGTATAAGATCAGGAACAAACATTTAACCTGATTTAAGTATAAAACAGACTTAATTAGCCCAGCCTGTTATTTTCATGAAGTTTAGGAGTCAAAATATGATTACAACCAGTAAAACAGTTCTCATACTCAGAGACAGTACTGGAAAGAACTATTTCCGAGCTGGATACCTATCAAACAGAGAATGAATTCCATCACACTGCTGTGGGATGGGCATTTCTGCCCAGAAATAAGCACACCTGTGGCTACTGTAAAGTTCAGTTCTGCACTTTTAGAAAACTGATTCAAACCTGCATTGAAAGGCTAATCTGAAACCACATACTTATAAAAAAAAAAAAAATTCATGTTTTAACTGGTTTATCAATCACCTGGACCCTAGAACACTCTGAGTTTTGTCACATCAGAAAGTTAACCTCGTGTTTTATTTCCAGGAACTATGGGCTGCTTACAGTGGCAGCACTCCCCTTTTAACTGCACTTCAAAGAAAAAGGGAAGAAAGCAGAGGTCTTTCAGGCTGAGAAAGCAGCAGTAAGCAACATAAGTTTAGCACTTAAATATACTGTAATACAAATTCAGACCAGGAGGTCAGGCCCTTAAATATTCCACTATAGGCTCCAGAAAACGCATCTACTCTCATTGTGACAATGCTACTGGAAAACTTTCTCATCCATACAAGGGAATTTAGCTTATAAAGAATTTCCATCCATTATCTAGTATTTCACAACATTAAATAATGCTTATGAAGTTTTCAATGACACAGGAAGATGTTTACATGTCAAAAAGTTGAGGAAAACAGACACAGGGCTACAAAGAGCCTATAATCTTAATTATTTAAAAATGAATAAGAGGGACTTCTCCAGGGGTCCAGTGGTTAAGAATAGGCCTTCTAACACAGGGGATGAAGGTCTGATCCCTGGTCAGGGAGTTGGGTTCCCACATACCACGGAGCAACTAAACCTGAGCACCACAACTACTGAACCCATGTGCTCCAGAGCCTTTGCTCCACAGTAGTAGAAGCCCATCCACCACAACGAAGACCCAGTACAGCCCCTCACCACCCAGGAAAAAAACCAATATATATATATATATATTTTTTTTTTTTACCAGAGGGTAACCCCTGTGGGTGGCAGGATTAGGAGTAATTTTATTTTATTCTTTCTATATTTCCATTCTTTTTTCTATTTTCCAATTTTCTATACTGAGACTATATTCAGGAAAATAATTTAAAAAAAAAGAGAGAATGAGGGAAAGAAGTTTTCCTTGTTTCTGGGCAACTATTCCAGAAATAAAGTGATTTGAACCACATATAATTTACTCTAATGGTTGGCAGTGAGGAAAGAAAAAACATTACCTTTAGCAAAGTTGTATTTACAGGATTCAGGCGAGAATTGCATTCAACCTAAAAAAAAAAAAAAAAAAAAAAAACAGAGAAAGACAATTTTATGAACTGCTAAATACAAAACAGCTTGGCACATGGAGGATCTTTCAAGAAGCTCAGCTGGGAGAAACTCAAGTTTTGGTTGAATCAGCCAAAGAAATTACCAAAATAAAAAATGGGAGATATATTTACATGATATACTTTATATCTTGTATTTCGTAGTAGATCTAAAAATCTGGCTAAGTTTGTTTTCTGGAGTAGAGTCTTAAAAGAGCTACATTTTGAATCTAATTCCTCCTATGGCTACGCAGCAGCAGGGCAAGTTACCTCCTTCTTTAAAAAGTGAACTCTGGGCCTCACCTGCTGAGGTCCTGATGATTCCCCAGCACAGCCAGTCCTTATGACTGAGCCTCACACCTCCTGCGCCCACTCCCCAGCCCTCTCCTGCACCCACTCCCCAGCCCTCTCCTGCGCCCACTCCCCAGCCCTCCCCTGCGCCTACTCCCCAGCCCTCTCCTGCGCCCACTCCCCAGCCCTCCCCTGAGCCCATTCCCCCAACCCTCTCCTGCGCCCATTCCCATTCCCCGACCCTCCCCTGCACCCATTCCCCAACCCTCTCCTTCGCCCTGGAGGCAGCAGGGGGACCTCAGAGAAAATGTTCTGGGGAGGTTGTTTAATGGTTCAACAATGTTTTATGGTTAACCTGATCCACTAGATCTCTTCTTTATACACGCTTGCCCAAGCACACATATAAAACACCATGTTAAGAGCATAGACTCTAGAGGGGCAAAAGCATGCAACACAAGGCAGAATGTTGTTGTTTAATCACTACGTCATGTCTGAGTCTTCTGCAATCCTATGGACTGCAGCCCATCACGCTCTTCTGTCCATGGGATTTCCCAGGGACTGGAGTGGGTTGTAATTTCCTTCTCCAAGGGATCTTCCCACCCTGGGGATCGAACGCCTGTGTCTCCTGAATTGCAGGCAGATTCCACTAGAGAAGCCCCGAGGCAGAATGAGAGTACTTGAAAACTTCACTCTGAGCTGCGTGAGACAGAAAGATAAACAGGATTTCTACAGCTGGAGTAAGAAGGGGTGGGCATTTGAAGGCTTCCAGAGTCAGGGGGAAGCAGAAGCTAAGACCCAGGGGATGCAAGGTGAGTATGCTGGGCATGTGTGGGGTTAAAGAGACCAGCATATGGTGTGAGGATAAACTGCAGGGAGAGGGTGAGAAAACTTGAGCTGACTGTGGAAGGCAAGAAGTCACAGAGGGTTTCTGAGGTGACGGGATGTGAACTGTTTCAGGAAAATAACCAGCAGTGGCCTGTATGACAGACTGCAGAGGCAGCAAGCCAGTTAAGGAGTCATGAAAATTACCTAGGCAAGAACCAGTAATCCAGCTGAATGCTTTCTCTGGGGATGGCTGATGGGTGGGTACTCAAAACTTCTAAAATCAGGGGATGACCTAAAAGCCAGGATCATCAAGTCAGGGTTTTTTCTTTATACAAATGCCAATGCAGGCAGTAAACGTACCTGTTTACTTATTACAGAATATGCTCTAAAAGGCAGAATGTAGGACTTCCTTGTTAGCACACTGGGTAAGAATCTGCCTGCCAATGCAGGGGACACAGGTTCAATCCCTGGTCTGGGAAGATGCCACATGTTGCAGAGCAACCAAGCTTGTGCACCATAACTACTGAGCCCATGAGCCACCACTAATGAGCCCCTGTGTCACAACTACTGAAACCCAAGCACCTGGAGCCTGTGGTCCACAACAAGAGGAGCCCATGCACCACTAGAGTAGCCATGCTCTCTGCAACTAGAGAAAGCTCGAGAGCAGAAACTAAGACCAAGCCCAACAAAAAAAAAAAAAAGAAGAAGAATGTAGAAACTTGATCCCTAAATGCCAGGCAAAGTGCTGAGAACATACTAGATATACACTAAGTATCTTCTGGAAGAATGACTCCTAAGTCTGTATTTAATATAATAAAGCATGCTTTTCCCTTGGTTCATCACTTTGTAATTTCTGTAACTGTGTAAGACGAAGGCTCAGTATCTAGCAGGCCAAGAACAATGGTTCGTTTTTGACATGTCTACTTTCTCCCCAGGTCCAACTGCTAAGACTCCAGTTCAGTTCAGATGCTCAAACGTGTCCAACTCTTTGTGACTCCATGGACTGCAGCACGCCAGGCTTCCCTGTCCTACACTGTCTCCCAGAGTCTGCTCAAATTTATGTCCATTGAATTGGTCGTGTTACCTAACCATCTCATCCTCTGTCATCCCCTTCTCCTCCTGCTTTCCTTTCTCCTCCTCCTTTCCCATCAGGGTCTTTTCCAATGACTCACTTCTTCACATCAAGTGGCCAAAGTACTGGAGTTTCAGCTTCAGCATCAGTCCTTCCAATGAGCACCCAGGACTGATCTCCTTTAGGATTGATTGGTTTGATCTCCTTGCAGTCTTGCTAAGACTCCATCTTATTCATTTTTGTATCCTCTAGAACACTGAGCAAATATTTGCTGTTTAGTCACTAAGTATGTCCAACTCTTTTGTGACCCCATGACCAGCCAGGCTCCTCTGTCCATGGGATTTTCCAGACAAGAATAATGGAGTGGGTTGCCATTTCATTCTCCAGGGGAGTCTTCCTGACCCAAGGATTGAACCTGCATCTCCTGCATTGGCAGGCAGATCTTTGCTGCTGAACCACCAGGGAAGCCCACTGAGCAAACAGAAGAAGCTCAAAAAATGATACTGAATGAATAAGTGAGTAAGAATAGCTAGAGACTAGAACTGTGGAGTTTCTTCCTGCTCTTCCACACATGGACAGCCCTCTAATCCCTACCAATTCAGGGGATAAAAGGCTCTGGTAGGGGAGGTAATTTTGAATGTGTCTAGAAGAGCATCTAGTTTGTGGTACAGATGGCATTTTGAAGTTATTCTCTATACACACTGAAAGTATGGAATCAGAAAAAGACCATATATGTATGGCCAACTTATGCAATCTTGAAAAATAATTGGTAACATTACTTTAAGTCCATGTAGTTTTAGAAAGACAACTCAGCATCATTAGAAAATTCTCATTAAGGATATTTTCTATAAACAATACTATTTTTCTGTGTTAAATACACATGTTCATGAAAAAATGTTTTTGATAGATATTTTATATCTATCAAAAACATGTATCTCCACCTTTTCAGCTAAAGAAGTGAAAGTGGCCAAAGAAAACCAGATAATTTCATGCAGAAACTTGTTATGTTATATATGTGGGAAAGACAAGAAAATGATAACAGACTTATGAAAAACTGAAAGCTTCATGTATAATTAAAGAAGTGCAAATTAAAACAGTGGGATACAATGTTCATCGCAGCACTGTTTATAATAGCCAGGACATGGAAGCAACCTAGATGCCCATCAGCAGACGAATGGATGAGGAAGCTGTGGTACATATACACCATGGAACATTACTCAGCCATTAAAAAGAATTCATTTGAATCAGTTCTAATGAGATGGATGAAACTGGAGCCCATTATACAGAGCGAAGTAAGTCAGAAAGATAAAGACCATTACAGTATACTAACACATATATATGGAATTTAGAAAGATGGTAACGATAACCCTATATGCAAAACAGAAAAAGAGACTCAGATGTATAGAACAGACTTGTGGACTCTGGGAGAAGGCGAGGGTGGGAATGTTTCAAGAGTACAGCATCGAAACATGTATATTATCTAGGGTGAAACAGATCACCAGCCCAGGTTGGGTGCATGAGACAAGTGCTCGGGCCTGGTGCACTGGGAAGACCCAGAGGGATGGGGTGGAGAGGGAGGTGGGAGGGGGGACCGGGATGGGGAATACATGTAAATCCATGGCTAATTCATTTCAATGTATGACAAAAACCACTGCAGTGATGTAAAGTAATTAGCCTCCAACTAATAAAAATAAATGGAAAAAAAAACACAAAACAGTGGGATGCCACTTTTTGACCAAATTAACTACTAATAATTGAAAAGTCCAGTGCTGAACAGCATGCTGTGCAACAGGCACTCTCCTACATTGCCAGCAGCAACACACTGTTCTATCTTTTCTGGAAATGAATCTGGCAAAAGGCATTAAAAACCTTACAAAGGTTTATGATTTTTGACACATTATTTCCATCTCATCCCAGGAAAATGATCAAAAATTCAGACAAAGATTCTGTATGGATATTCAATGGCAACATTATTAATGGTGCACAATCATAAATAATCAACAAAAGAATGAAGTTATATAAACAAGGGTGTATTTACAAGACTGAATAGTGTACAGTGTTAAGTAATCAGGTCCCCAAACCTTGTATATTTAGTATCATCCAAACTATGTTGAGGGGCTTCCCTGGTGGCTCAGTGATAAAGAATCTGCCTGCCAATACAGAAGATGTGAGTTTGATCCTTGGGTCAGGAAGATCCCCTGGAGAAGGAAATGGCAACCCTCTCCAGTATTCTTGCCTGGGAAATCCCATGGACAGAGGAGCCTGGCAGGCTACAGTCCATGGGGTCACAAAAGAGTTGGACATGACTTAGTGATTAAATAACAACATCTATATTGAAGAAAAACATGGTGGCTTGTCTTTGGGATTGTGATTTTTTTCCTCCTGTCCTTCTATTTACCAATTTTCTACAATGAACACATATTATTTTTACCAATGTGCTATGTGCTCGAGAAAGAGGTAGAGAAAAGTATGCAGGCTCTCAGCAACCTTCCAACCTGCTGAAATGGTTCCAGATTTGTGGTGACTGCAGAAGGCCAAGGCTGGCAGAAATTTGATGATAAGCAAATGGTATTTAGTGATACTACTTGCCACCGAATGAACTGTACCATATAGAAGAGTCTGGGCACTATTGATCCCTTCTGATGAAACCAAGTGATCAATGAGGAATTATTTTTCCAGATTGGATAACAAAGCACAAATCTGATATGCATAATCAGAAATAACAAAAACTAGTATCTGCCAACTGTTTCCAGTACATCAGCAGTGTGCTACAAACAACTTACATTTCATCTTACTCAACTTCACAATGTCAGTACATACTTACCACAGCTTCAACTGCGGGTGAACTGTCACCTACCACCAATAAAGTAGAGCACCTGGGGGAAGGCAAACAAGAGGACACTCAGCTAGGAGCACAGACACTCCACAGAACACTGGCTTCATCTATCAAAGGCAGGTGTATTTAGCAACTTAGCAGGCAGATCGAGAGACTTACTTTAATGTCTTTGATTTGTTATCATTTTGTCCCAGAATGGGTCTTTCAATCTCCAGGTCTTTGCGTCTAGAGAGACACAAAGGAAACAATGCACGTTTCAGGTAAAATCATGGCAACGCAGGTTATTTCCTGAAAACTCAAAGGTATCAAAGAATCTGCAAATTATCTCTCCTTCACACCTGACAAGGGAAGAGATTTTATAGATTTTGTTCACAAGTAGTCTCGTCAGTGGCATCCTGAGTGGAACAGAGAAGGAAAAAGGAACTCGGTAGGACGCTGAAAGGAGGCAACTTTAAAACTTAACAGCAATGCTGTTGAAATCCTCAAGTCCTAAGTGTCTAATTTTCCAATTACTTTACAGGCATAATTTTTTAAAATATTTGTTTTTATTTTATTTATTTGCCTGTGCTGGGTCTTACTGGCAGCACATGGGATTTTCAATCTTCTAAGTTGCCACATATGGATCTGCAGTTGCATCACACAGGATCTAGTTCCCTGACCAGGGCTCAAACTCGGGACCCTGGAATTGGGAGGGTGGAGTCTTAGCCACTGGACCATGAGGGAAGTCCCTAGGAATAATTTAAGGGGAACCTTTTAGGGGAACTATTTTCCTGGTACTTACAGTTTATTGTAGTATTTAATATCCTTTCCGATTTCAGCTAAAAATAAGGAGGCTCTGTAATACAGAGGAAGGAGCTAGAGAGGCTGGATTCAAAACTTGCTTTGCTCCTGCTGGCTGTGTAACTCTGGGTAAGTTACAGCTGACCCATTTCCTCAGTCTTTTTCCATATAACCAGGAAGCTAGAAGGAGCTAACATTTTCACTGGAGAAGCTGGACCCAAGATAAGAATCAGGCTTCTCTCAGTGACTAGGGGAAATGTGACAGCTTTGGAAATACACAAACAAAAGAGAATTTACTACTGTTCATGTTTCACTTCTGCCTGATGACAGAATATCAGCAGAGAGAGACTGAATTAAGGTCCCAAACTTCTATCCTTCTATCCTCTACATGCATTTTTCTTTGTTACCCAAATTGTGTGTTTTTGTGTGTGTACATAACTTTAGGTCCTTTTGGTCTCAAAACATATTAAAAGTACAACTGGTAGGTGAATATGCCTGAAACAGCATTCAGTTCATTCATTCTTGAAAGCTGTTTTCATATCTATCTGAAAGTTCTTCCTCTTCCACTGCGGTGAAAGTGCGAAAGTAACCCCATCACACAACATTGTAAGAAGCAGCTTACTTCCCCCCTCCTGATTCTCTCTTAAATATCCATTAGCTTCTCAGACCTCGTCTGCATTTAAGTGAAGGAACAGAAACAACTGTACCCGTTATAGGAACCCAGGAAGAGCTGTAGGTTTTCCTGGTTGATATCTTGGGCAATATGCAGTCTGTAGGTCTGAATCAGGTCCAGGTTGGCCTGCAACTCTTCCTAGAACAATGAAAAGAAGACACGGTGAACTTCTGAGCTACAGTACAAATCTATCTTGTTTGGTTTGCATTCTCAGTGCCCAAAGCCAAAGCTCCCTGCCCATTATAGGAGATGGGGCAGACCCTAGGGCCTACTAGGCCCCTGGTAGGTTGAATGGCACCATATTCTGTGCTGGATGAGGGCTCCAAGGAATCTATGATGGAAAAGGTCAGTAATCAGGTCAAGCACAAAAACCTGGGAATATGCTGCGACTCCTCTCTGCAGCACAGTGGAAACTGCACTTAACCTGGATTCGAGCACTAGATGTAAGACTAGCGTCACCTCACCATTTGGAACCCTAATTTCCTTATCTGTGTTTTATTCATGTTCTGCCACTTTCACAGAGACAGTGTCTTGTCTGTAAAATGAAGATAATAACCAGTTACCTGACAGGGATGTTTTAAAGATTAAATAAGAAATGCTAATATGAACTGTAAAGTATAAAATAAATGGAAAGTAACACTTCTCTTATTAGTCATAAATCTGCATCATTAACTTCTCTACATTTTCATCAATATAGTGGGTGTAATATCTATTTATATACTATTATTTAATAATATACATTCTAGAACTGCATATTATATTCCATTAATATTTTATTTTATCATTTATTTACCAATATTACAGGGTTTTTTTTGAGGCAGTGGAGTTTATTTATAATATTACATTAGTTTCAGGTGTACCACATACTGATTCAAAATTTTTATAGATTATGTCCCATTTAAAGTTATTACAGGGACTTCTCTGGTGGTGCAGTGTCTGCCTGCCAATGAAGGGGACATGGGTTCAATCCCTGGTCTGGGAAGATTTCACATGCTGAGGGGCAACTAAGCCCGTGTACTACAGCTACTGAGCTCTTGCTCCAAAGCCTGTGCTCTGCAACAAGAGTAGCCCTGCTCGCTAAAACTAGAGAAAGTTCCTGCATGCAGCAACGAAGACCCAGTGAAGCCAAAAAGCAATAAATTATTGTAGAATACTGGCTATAAGCCCTGTATAAAATTCAAGAGAAATAAGAGTCTATCAGTGAAAAGAAAACTTCCCTCCTTACTACCCATTATCCAGTGATCCTTATCTTGCTGGCTTTCTCAAAGGCTACTAGAACCAGTTGCCAGGTTTTTGTATATGTAAGTATATATGGACATATATGGACATACACATACACCAGTAAATATGGACAATTTTAAGCAGAAGGAAAAGGGTTCACACTAGAGGAAAAAATATATCAGGGGTAATTAGAGAGTCAGTTAATCTAAAGCAGTGTGCAAGGTTCACCACCAGCAAGCCTTGTGGAGAAACCGAGGTAAGGAGAACTTGTGTGAGTATTCTCACTGCTACATGGGGACAGTGAGCCAAGAGTACAGTAGGAAACTGACCAACTGAATCAGAGTGTCCCTGAAGCGAAGGGCCCGGGAGCCATTCCAAGGAAACTCGATAAATGAAGATATTATGAAAAGTGGACAAGAAAGGAACCACATCGCAATCAGAGATAAAATGACCTCTACAGTTCCCCCATCAAAGTCTGAAGAGGAACTTGAGCAGAAGTTTGAGATAAAAAAGGGGCAGAAGTAATACTGGTATAAAAGGGGTAAAACTGGCGTGAGTGCTAACGGAACTCCCTAGGAAAAGCTGTTATGTGTAAATTGCACCCCATCCCTCACATTTCTTTAGAACACAAACTGCAGTGTGCAGACATGCTATTCAGCACCGAGGTTATTCCTTTTCAGGACATATGGGGCCTTCTCATTTATTTACAGTTTTCCCACACCCTTGCTAGTATAAATGATCATTCTTTCTGCCTTCTGCTAATTTGAAAGATAAAAAGGGGTTATCATTGTATTTTTATTAGTGAAGATGAGATTATTAATGTATAGAAACCTTACATGCTTCCATTTCAAAGCAGTAAGAGTAATACATGCGTTCACTTGTTTAAATTTTAAATGAACTCATCAGCCTCGCGACAACCTCTTGTCTGTGGCTGCACGTGTTTTTAATTAAACACACAATATGTATATACTGTGAGGGTGTTCTTACGTTACAGAAATCATTATAGTAATGAAGACACTGTGCTATGGGCATGTGTGTATGTGTGTGCTCAGTTGCTCAATTGTATCCAACTCTTTGCAGCCCCATGGACTGCAGCCCATCCGGCTCCTCTGTCCATGGAATTTTCCAGGCAAGAATACTGGAGTGGGTTGTCATTTCCTTCTCCAGAGGATCTGCCCAACCCAGGGACTGAACCTGTGTCTCCTTGCATCTCCTGCACTAGCAGGCAGTTCTTTACCACTGTACCACCTGGGAAGCCCTTCTGTGATACTGGCATAAGGCTAGACAAATATCAGTAAGATAAAAACGAGCCTTCCAAAATACATCCTTACATTTATGGTCAACTGGTTTTCAACAAGGGAGCCCAGATAACTCACTGGACAAAGAAAAGTCTTTTAATGGTACTGGGAAAATTGGATTTTCAAAGGAATGAAGTTAGCGTCCAACTTTACACCATGTACAAAAAATTAGCTCAAAATGGACCACAGACCTAAATGTTAAGAGCTATAAGTATAAAACTCTAAAGAGAAAGGATAGTTGTAAATCTTCATGACTTTGGATTAAGTGATGGTTTCTTAGATACGACACCAAAAGTACAAGCAACAAAAGAAAAAATAGCCTGGACTTCATCAAAATTAAAACCTTTTGTGTTTCAGATAGAAAATAAACTGGTTACCGGGGCCACGGGATGGCAAACAGATAAACTGGAAGACGGGGATTAACACACACACACACACACACACACACACACACACACACACACACTTCTATTACATATAAAGTAGGTAACTAATAAAGACCTACTGTATAGCACAGGGAACTCTGCTCAATACTCTGTAATAGGCTATGGGAAAATAATCTAAAAAAGAGTGGCTATATCTAACACATTCACTTCACTGTATACCTGAAACTACAACACTGTATATCAACACTATACCCCAGTAAAAATGAAATAAAACAAAACAAAAAGATACTTTCATTAGGTTAAACCCAAAAACATAAAATAAATAAATAAAAACTGTGCTTCAAAGGACACCATTAAGAAAGTTAAAAAAGAGACTTTCCTGGTATTCCAGTAGTTAAGAATCTGCCTTGCAATGCAGGGAAGGTAGTTGATCCCTGTCAGGGAACTTAAGATCCCACATGTCAAGGAGCAACTAAATGTGTGTGCTACACACAGAGTCCATGGGCCATAATGAAAGATCTGCAGGACGTAACAAAGATCCCACATGCCACAATGGAGACTTGAAGCAGCCAGATAAATAAATATAAAAAAAAGAAAAAAATTTATAAGACAGGGACTCTGAAGGTCAAGTGATTAAGAACCCAACTTCCAATGCAGAGTACGTGGGTTCAATCCCGGAGGAAACCAGGATCCCCAAATGCCGTGGGGCAATGAAACCTGTGAGCGGAAACTAGAGAAAGCCTGTGAGCCCCAAAGAAGAGCCGACACTAAGCAACAAAGACCGAGCACAGGCAAAAAATAAAAACATTTTCCGTTTGCCAGTCCTTTGTTTAAAATTTAGCACAGGAGCCACTGGCCCAAGGTCTCAAGAATTCTCATAGACTAGCTGTCACCACATCCTAGGCCCAGGTTCTTCCCATCCAACTGCAGTTTCTATAGCTTCTGCAGCTGTTCAGACCTTATTTTAGACAAATGTCTCCCCCATCTGGTGAATGGCTCTGTGGACAAGTTAGGGCCCTTACCCTCTGGTCAAGTTTCTTCACAGCTGGCCAGCTATACTTTCTGTGGAAACCATTCCTCCCGTAAACAGGCCTCACTCTTAGGCGTGCTGGTGGGGGCTTAACTAAGTCCTCAGTTCCTTCAGTGTTCACATTTCCGTGGCCTAAGAGGAGTTGTTCAGTCGCTAAGCCGTATCCAACTCTTTGCAACCCCACGGAGTGCAGCACGCCCAGCTTCCCAGTCCTTCACTGTAACTCGGAGTTTGCCCAAATTCAGGTCCGTTGAGTTGGTGATTCCATCCAACCATCATATTCTCTGTGCCCCCTGCTTCTCCTCCCCTCAGCCTAGGAGTAGCTGCTGTTTTTCCACCTGCTACTTTTGGACACCTCAAAGTCCTTTTTCACCTCTTGAAGAAGTAAGCCACCTTCTACTAGTTGATATATTACATGAAATTTTCTCTACTCAAAGCATGTAGCTTCTGTCCCCTGACTGAACCTTGGAAACAGCCCATAGAATAGAGAAAGTGTGACCTGAAGGAGGCTGAGATGAGTGTCACCAGGTCTTCTGCATGGCAAGTCCTGATTCTTGTGCTAAAATATTTTTAAAAGGCAGAACAGGAACTTCCCTGGCAGTCCAGTTTAAGACTCTGTGCTTTCACTGAAGGGGTGAGAGTTCAATCCTTGAACAAAGCCCCTCATGCAGTGCAGCAAAAAGAAAAAAAAATGGCAGTGCTTTCCTGCTACTATCACCTTACAGTGTCCCCCTGGTATTCTTTATTTAAAAATTTTAACACTGTCACTTGGTAAAGGAGAAATGTATAGAAAAAGAAATCTGTCATGGCTCAGCTCTGAATAACATTTATATGCTAGTATAAATGCTGGAAATTTATCTAATCCAAATCATGTCATATTGGAAGGATGGAGTGGTAGAAAACATAAATGAGGGACATGGTGTCGGTGTATGTGTGAATGTGAGAGAAATCATCTTTCATAATGGAATGCCAAAGATAATGCCTACAACTGAAAAACCAACAGGTGGAAATACATGCATATTTAGAGAGACAGAGGCTAGACAACTGAACAGAACTGAGGCTTATGTCCAAAAAGACACATATAAGAATGTTCACAGAAGAAGTTTTTTATGGAAGAAAAGCTATGACCAACCTAGACAGCATGTTAAAAAGCAGAGACATTACTGTGCCGACAAAAGTCCGTCTAGTCAAAGCTATGGTTTTTCCAATAGTCATGTATGGATGTGAGAGCTGGACCATAAAGAAAGCTGAGCACCAAAGAATGGATGCTTTGGAACTACGGTGTTGGAGAAGACTCTTGAGAGTCCCTTGGACAGTAAGGAGATCAAATCAGTCAATCCTAAAGGAAATCAGTCCTGAATATTCCTTAGAAGGACTGATGTTGAAGCGGAAACTCCCAACACTTTGGTCACCTGATGCGAAGAACTGACTCACTGGAAAAGATCCTGATTCTGGGAAAGACTGAAGGCATGAGGAGAAGGGGACGACAGAGGATGAGATGGTTGGAGAGCATCACCAACTCAATGGACATGAGTTTGAGCATTCTCCGGGAGTTGGTGAAGGATAGGAAAGCCTGGCGTGTTGCAGTCCATGGGGTCGCAGTCAGACTGAACTGAACTGATTGAAGACTGTCCATAGAAGCTTTATTCATAATAGCAAAACAAAAGCAAAATATTGGAAATAACCCAAATGCTCAAAGGAACATTCATGGTATACAACAATGGACTGGTACACAGAATCTAAGAATGAACTACTGATGCATAGGAAAACAGGTTTGAATCTCAAAGACTATACTGAGCAAAAGAAGCTGGGCCCATTAGAGTGTACACTATGTAATTACATTTATATGAAGTTCAAGAACAGGCAAGATAATCTATAGAGGTAACAGAACAGTGAATACTTGTTTGGGGAGGGGAATTAGTGATTAGGAAGGGGCACGAGGGAAGCTTTTTGAGATGACAGAAATGCTCTGTATCTTGATTCGGTGATGGTTACATGAGAGTATGGGCTTCCCAGGTGGTGCTAGTGGCAAAGAATCTGCCTGCCAATGCAGGAGACATAAGGGATTCGGGTTCAATCCCTGGGTCAGGAAGACACCCTGGAGAAGGAAATGGCAACCCACTTCTAGCCTGGAGACTCCTACGGACAGAGGAGCTGCCAGGCTCCATAGGGTCACAAAGAGTCGGATGTAACTAAAGTGACTTAGGATGGATGGACATGAGTATATGTATAAAAGATCACTGAGATGTACTTAGATTTGTGTCCTTTATTAAACATAAATAATACCTTAATTAATGAGGCAAAACCCAAAGAATCTGCTAAAAGAATTAAAGTGGTTACCTCTAAGAAGCAGAAATGGGGTGAGTAACAGATTCTTTGTATCAAGCCCTGCAGAACTCCTCTGCTCTAAAATGTATGTGGGGGCTTCCTTTGTGGCACAACTGATAAGAATCCACCTGCCAATGCAGAGGACACGAGTTTGAACCCTGGTCTGGGAAGATGCCACATGCTGCAAAACAACTAAGCCCGTGTGCTTCAACTCCTGAAGCCCATGCTTCAACAAAAGAAACCATCACAATGAGAAGCCTGTGCACCACAACAAACTAGCCCCCGTTCACTCTAGAGCTAGAGAAAGCCCGCACAAAACAACAAAGACCCAGCACAGCCAAAAATAAAGAAATAATTTTTTTTAATGTTAAAAATATATATGTGTGAATTTGTAATTGTGCTGAAATACAATCTCAATCAAAGAAAAAACTATGGACTTTGGAGTGAGCCTGATTTGGATTCAGACCGCTTGCTAGCTGGACAATTGGAGCAAGTTATGTTCCCTCTCTAGCCCTCAGTTTTTCCATCTTAAGTTTAATAGAACCACATGAAAAAAATAACTGAGTTTGTGCCTAAAAGGTACTTATCAAAGTACTTTACACAGAATGAGTACTCAGTGAATGTTAATTTTTCCACATTGACCATTTTCCTTTAATACATAGGCGACAGTTGAGCATGCATTACTCCTACTTATAGTTTTCATCCCAACTCCAGACACCTCACAGCTCTCCACACTCATTGCTCATTCATTCCCTCCCTCCTTCATAGGTCATCTGTGATGCTGCTATTTATAGCAAGAAATATATACTTGGTCTTCATCCCCCTCCTGGCACAGAGCTCTGTAAAACCTTGCGATGAGACGGATAAAGAATCTTTTTTTGGTTAATGATGGGATTTTAGGAAAGCCCCTAAGTAACTTCTACATGGAACCAGTCCCTGTGAGTAGGGGGCTGGAACTTTCAACCCTACCCTGCCCTTCTCTCCAGGGGCGGGGGTGTAAAGGAGGTGAATGTTGAATTGACTGCCACATAATCATGTGTCTGTAACAAAGCCACCATAAAGCCCCAAAAGACAGGTGTGAGAGGGTCTCCAGGTTGGGGAATGCATGGCCACTCTGGGAGACTGGGACATTCCAGAGGACAGGGGAGCTCCCTGCCCCTTGCCATACAATTGCTCTGGGCATCTCTCTCATTCAGCTATTATCGAGTTAGGTCCTTTTATAATAAGCCAGTCTAGTCAATACAGTGTTTCTCTGTGAGCAGCTCTAGAAAACAAACCGGACCCAAGGAGGGGGCTATTGGAACCTCTGATCTATAGCTGGTTGGCCAGAAGCACAGGTGACCACCTGGAGTGGCTGAAGTGGGGGGAGGGGGAGCAGTGCTGGTGGCTCGGTGACTGGCACTCAGCTCTAATCTGCAGGAGCTGACCAATATTCAGGTAGACCGTGTCATCGACCTGAGCTGCAGGATATCCAGCTGGTGTCTGAGAATTCTTTGGTAGTGTCAGAAAAAACACAGTGTAATTGGGACAGGAATTCTGTTACTCAACTTACTTTCTCTCTGAAAAGAGGACTGGGGTCCTGACCTCTTTTACCCAACAGCTATCCACATAACTGGCATTTCCTCTATAGACTTCAGTTTCATTACCAGAAAGACATGGGATTTGAACAAAAGGTTCTTTTAGCACTTTTTTATTTTCTCTGAAATCTCTATTTCTGTGCAGCCCTTCTTCCCAGACCTCATTTTGGCTCCAAAGAAGCTTGGTGAGGCACGTGATGTCGTCAAACAGGAACAGATGGCGTGCAGCTTACAGGGAGTGGGCTGGGGGTGGGGTGGGAGCTGCCTTCTCTCATCTCTCTAAACGCCAAGAGCCGGGTTAATGAGCCAAGAGCCACTGAGTTAATGCCCTCCTCTGAGACTGGCCTTTGGTGGGCGCCATGCACATCTCCCACGGCACTGAAAGTGTTAACTCATTGGAATCAAGGGAGTTCCAGGGAACCCTTTCTTTCCTGAGGTGAATAAGACTTTACACACAAGCCAATAAACACACCCCTCTTCTGGCTGGAATAGGGACTTACCTGCCCAAAGTGATGAGCCAAAATAATGTCCACAACATTGGTTGTCAAGCCCGAGAGCTAAAAAGATAAAAACTTTGTGTCAAGAGAGTGAGCATGGGTAAAATTTTATCAATCTGTCCACTTTATTAGTGCACTTTCTTGTAAATATGCTGAGCTTAAAAACACAAAAAATATAACTCAGTGTCACACATTTTCATGAGATAGTGGTCCCAAGAAATCTGAGAACAAGAAAGAAGTCAGGAAAAAACAAAATCTTCCTCCGAGGGTAATAATATGGCCTACTCTGAAATAGGTGGTAGAAGAAATGCTGGCTGTTACTTCTTTGAGAACGTGGGACCTAGAGCTCACAACCATAGCTACTTAATTTCTACCTGTGTTTCTGCATTTACACTGGGTTTATGCTTAATAAGGTAGACTTACAACCACTCCCAAGTCATCCAAAAGAAAAAGCAATTTTTTTTCTTTCCTCTAGTTTTTGCTATCTTCATTTCAAGGAGTGGGAGGAAACTGCTATGTTTACAGAATGTTCTTGCGTTTTGAAAGCTTTTCTCTTAATTTTCCCCACGTCAAAGCTATGCACATCACAGTCTAATAAATGCATCAATCTGTGTAAATCTGCAGCCTGTTAGTCTATTTTCAGAAAAATTTCCAACTTACATTATGTTGCTGATTTCCCTTAAACCTTCTCTGTTGATTTTAAGCTCAGTTCCTACTGTGGACTTGGCACAGAGGTAAAGTACTGAGTTGGGGGTGGAGATGGAGAAGAGGAGATAAGGGAGACAGACGCGGATATGGGTGGAGCAGGATCAGGGAGTCCCGGAAAGATAGAGTAAGAAAGAAGCCCAGAAATCTTCACCTGGGTTATCAATGATCCACAGGTTATAAATTAAAGATAATTAGAATAACCTATTTCATTACATCATTAAATAACCTATTTAATATTCATGTCATTCTAAAGCTTTATAAGAATGTTTCCTAGATTATATCATGTTATTAAGAGTGTTCATATAAGTTTTAATGTACCACATACTAGACAGGAATTAGAACAAATTTGAAGTCAGCTGTAAGAAAGAATTTCCATAATATCTGGCAAAAGCAATGTTGATATATTTCATCCAAAGCTAGGAAATACATAATTTCTCTGGAAGTTAAAGGTGGGGAAGAACAGATAAACTTTTCAGAATCTGGTCTGCTGGTAGATGGAACAGTTTAATATTTTAAAATAACTATGACAGCAAAGCAAAATTAGGAAAATACAGAATATATAAAATAAAAATAAGAATCATCTGCAATGCTACCAAAGATGTAACTACTAGTAGCATTTTTCTTTTCTTATGCATATATGTATTTTTAAAAAATTTTGTTTTTTAAGCATGAGAATTTTCTCATTTCCCTAAACAACAAGAAAAAGAAACCCATAATTTTTCAGTTGCATAGTATTCCATTCATGACAGACTCACAGACAATGATGAATGAAAGAAGCAAGATATGAAAAGAACACATCTATTATTCTGAATATACAAAATCAATCTATGGTAATAGATACCAGAATAATGGTTTCTTTTTGGGAAAGGGAGGAAGTAGTAAGGACAGAGTTGGAAATATTCTGTATATTGACTGATTGGTGATTATATGGGTAAATATTCATATCAAGCTGTATACTTAAGACTTCTTGCCCTTAACTGTATGAATGAAAAAATAAAAAACAGATAAGCCATTTTGAGAAGGGACTAAGGGATGAGTCAAAGGATACTGTTTGGTCTTACTTTGGAAGCTGCCCAGTCAATCCAGCCTTTAGCACAAGGGTCGACGTTAATGAGCACAAGACCTTCCACAAGTTCTGGATGATTGAGCTGAAACGAGACAAAGACAATAGTATGAGAGCACCACTCTCAGCTTCTTCCAAAACTACTGGAGTGTGGTTAGTCAACTCTTCCTAGGCCTGGATGCCTCAGATTTTAAAAAAAGGTCAGAGAGGTGCTAGGGAGGATATTTAGAAAAACAGCTCCATAAATCTAATTCAGCATGTGGAAAACCAGCTTCCTAAATTGCCATCAAATGGCGTTGCTTTGCAAGGATCTACGGGGCGATGGTTTTTACTTCCACAGCAGAGGATGGCCACAGCTATCTCCACGGCTGTTTAGCTCAGGGTGGGTCTACCCTCCTGGGCAGTGCCCTTGGGCCCACATGACATAATGGGCTGTTAAGGCTTAGACTGTCCCCAGTAGTGACTTCTTGTTTTTTTCTAAAACTACATGAAGAGGTAATACCACCCTCAGAAGATTGTCCTATCACCCAGGAGGCATTTGGGAAAAATCAGTAAGAACATTTCTATGTAAACTAAAAACTTCCCAGCTTACTTTTCCCCCTCTGATTATGCTCACTATAGAAAATGTGATAAACAGAGGAATTATGAAAAGCAGAAATAAAATCTCATTATTATCTAATTACACATAATCAATCCTAGTATTTCGGTATGTTTTCTTCTAGTTCTTTCCTAGGCCTATGACAAACTTAACCTGCATCTGTATTCTAACCTCTTTGTTAAGGCTGTAATATATGTGAATTATGTATCATAAGCTTGTCTTATAAAATTTTAATGGCTGTAAGAAATTCCACTCTAAATGTTCTCTGAGAGTTATTTTTTATTGATGATATCCTGCCCACACCTCTTATTTTTTTAGGTGCTAGAAGTACAAAACAAGGCTTTATACAAACCAGTATCTGTGGACAAAATTTATAGAAAAACAGACGTAAGATCCACAGTAGTTCCTTCTCATTTAACACAGCAGTAAGAGCTGTGACCTAGGCAGTGCCTCAAGAGTGTTGAGACTAATCCTCCATGTACTTACTGTAAATCTGCTGAGGATGTAAGCTCCAGCTCCAACCCCAATCCCAATGATGCTTTTCAGACTGTAAATGGAACACACCAATATGAATAAGGTTAACTCTTTTGAAGGGAGCATGGTATAATGGAAAGAAGACAACTGGATTCAAATCTGGCTCTGATGCTTACTGGATGGAGAATCTGGTTAGGTTTCATTAACTTCCTAAGCCTGGATTCCCTATCTATAAAACAAGGATATGATGACTTATAAGCTGATTTTAAAGATTATGTGAACTATGACTAAAACATGGGAGTCATCCTTGACAGCTCACTCTCCTATCACCTCCACACTCAACCCATCAGCAAGTCCTATAGTCACCTTCACAGTCCTTCCATCTGCCTTCTCCTACTCCATTCCATCCTCTGGGAGGCATCTAGTGCCAAGCTATCAATATCACTTGCCTGATTGTTGTAATAGTTTAACTGGTCCCTTGCTTTTTCTCTTCTACCCCTCTCTAAACCTGTGCAAATTCTCTCTACAGCTAGTCTTTTTTTTTAAATGTTCCTTCTGGCAATGTGTAATTTATTTATCTTTGGCTGTGCCATGCGGCATGCAGGATCTTAAGTTTCCTGACGAGGGAGCAAACCCGTGCCCCTAATGTTGGAAGCATGGAATCTTAACCACTGGATTGCCAGGGAAGTCTTTAGAGTAATTAAAAGAAAAATGTAAATGGCTTTATTGATGTGCAGTTTACATATCTAGAACGATCATTTTAAAAGACTTCCCTGCATAAGACTCTTCAGTGTTTTTCTTTGCCTTTTGATTAAAATCCTGAAGTCTCACCTAATCTGTCAGATCTGTGAATTCCGGTTCTTATTTTATTTCTCAAATTTCATCTTATGCTTTTCTCCCACTTGCTCACTTGGGTCAGGACTTTTGGACATATTCCTTCTGTCTGGAATCCTCTTGTCCTGGCTCTCTATTTAGGTAACTTCTTTTTATACTCCAGGTCTTAACCTAAAGGACTCCTTAGAGAGGTATTCCTCAGTTAGCCATATCTGGTAGAGCCTGCTTTTATTCTCTATCACACATCCCTACTGATTTCTTCTATAGCATGTAAGCTGTGACTATTTGTTTACCTATTGTTAATTATTTTCCATACCAAAATGTAAGCTTCACACTCCACAAGGGTAGTGACCATACTGGTTTGATTACCATCATAGCACCCAGATCAGACACATAGCAGAAAGTGTTTTTTTGAAAAACAAAAACCATATGGAAGAATTGCAGGATGAACTCACTTTAAGTGGGTGAGAACAGGAGGCAGCATTTCGGCCAGCTCATCCATGGTGGGGTACTGGTACCTGAAATCCAGAAGGATACCTCCTGAATTGGAATGCACTCACAATTTCCAATCACTAGAACAGTTAGAAAAGTACAGAGTTCTTGAAAGTGAAAGTGAAAGTAGCTCAGTCATGTCCAACTCTTTGAAACCCCATGGACTAGTCCATGGAATTCTCCAGGCCAGAATACTAGAGAGGGTAGCCTTTCCCTTCTCCAGATCTTCCCAATCCAGGGATCAAACCCTGGTCTCCCGCACTGCAGGATGACTCTTTAGCAGCTGAGCCACAAGGGAAGCCCACAGAGTTCTTAGGTATTTCTAATCCCCAAATAACCACTTCAGTTGGGGTTCAGGTTCAGTAAACTTCTAGCAGTGACAGTCAACTCAGGAAGTGGCTTTTGGTCGGCTGCTTATGTTTAGGCAGCTAAGCACAAAAGTAAACAAACCTTTACTGTACCTAGGGCACATACGGTCACAAAGCCTGGGCTCTTATCATGAAGGCTGATTTGTTTCACTTAGGCATAGAATAACCCAGCTACTTTATTATTTGCTTTTGAATGTGGTTCCTGATCTAAGCCACTAGATCCTAAGATGGTCAAGCAAGCCCAAGAATCCAAGAAAAGACCAAGAATCAGACCAAGAATCCAAGAAAAGTAGAGTGTCCACATAAACTGCAGCATCAAAGATGAACAAGATCTTAAGACAACTTCATACATATGTGGCATTATCTGCTCTACATTTGACAGTGATGTCAGCCTGCCTCTGCTTGAAACAGTTCAAGCACTGGCATGCTTTTGAGCCATTTGTGCATAAAACAGAAAAAAGGAACTGTATCTAAATTTTGCTGGATATAAACTGGTCATTGGCCAATTTGTGTTTAAGGGACAGACATGGCTTGGACATAGTGAATAACAGATTCTGGAGCCAGACTGCCTAGGTTAAAATCCCAGCTCTGCTACTTATTTGTTACATAGGCTTGGACAAAGTACATAATATCTTTGGGCCTTAGTATCCTCACCTGTAAAATGGGAATAACAGTAAACCTACCCCATAGGATTTTAAGCGTTAAATGGGTCAAGTATGTAATGCAGTGTTCAAGATTACTGTCTGAGTACAGAGTAAGTGTTAGCTGCTATTCGTCTGCAATGGTCTGTTTCACAGCAATCATTGGCAAAGGCAGCTCTGGAGATAAGCAAAGAGGGGAAGGATGAGCATTCCACAGCTTGTGGTTTCACTATTCCCCCAAGATCTCCTCCATAATTACGCTGTCCAGGGAAAAGTCAGGGAGACTGGGGCTCGGCCATGCAAAGCAGATGAGGCTGAGGCTGAGAGCTCCATGTGCACGTTCAGTCAGATGCACCTCCACCTGACACTGTAGCTTCTCTGAATAAATGATTACGCTGATATTCAAATTCCTGTCACCAGACTGAAGGTCAGGCTGGGGAGGTGCTCTCAGGAAGCTCAGAGAAATCTGAGTTTGGGGCTAAAGGGAGTTGTGAGTTCCAGGAGGGGACAAAAATGACAGGTTTGAAACAGATGAAGAAAGGGACAAATAGAAGACAGTAAGAAAAAAAAAAGAAGAAGACAGTAAGACGTGGGTGTTTCAGACATGAATGTCTTGTGATTGGCTCCCATTTATGGAGGGCCATTCCTGGATATGGGAACATACAGTCTTCCTGAATAGACTGTCCATGACAGTTCTCCCAGAGCGAGGAGAGAAAGCAACTGGATGGCTGGTTGACAAGTATAACCTGCAGGCAGTGCTAAAACTGGCTTGGAGGGAAGCACATGGCTAGTGCTCCCACTGGAGCTTTACTCTCTGAGTGCCTGTTTTCCAGAGGGTCTTGCTTGTGGCCTTACCCAGTTGGGAAGGACGGTGCACCTTCCTGCTGGCCTGGGGCATCCACATGACAGACAGCAAAGTGCTGGGTGATCTCCTGCATGTCCTCAAAGTTAAAGAACGCATTGAAACAGGATTTATCTGTAAGAGCAAAACACACATAAGTCACAAGCTCTTCATTTCGCCTCACTTTTCCTCTATTCAGTCAATTCCATATCATCGTCCTCTCTTACTCCTTTTTAACCACTATTTCACTAAAATGAAGTATCTGAACAATCTGTCTGACTCAAGCTGCCCTAAAGGCTGACTATCAGACATCTCAACGGCTTGAAAAGAACATTTAATTAGTCCTCAATTCTACAGAACATCTACAGAGTGGAAGCCAATCCTGGTGTTTCACAAAATAATCTTATACCCATAACACTGTCATTTTTCATGCATCTTATTCCCTACCTGATACAGAGATACTGACCATATCTCAGGAGCCTGGCTAAAGTGAGTTTCTTGCTGCTTACATTCACCATGTGGAAAACCTCTCGTGGCAAAACTGCTAAGGTGCAGGGAGGGGTTACTGCTTAAATTCCTTTTCAAAAGCTCCAGCACTAGATTGTAACCTCAAATGCAGGTCACCTCTGACAGAGGAGTGTGAAAGAAACACATGTCATGCAGATTCCATGGACCCAGGGCTAGGGCCAGAATCTCACATTACCACCTGAAAGTGAAAGTGAAAGTGAAGTCGCTCAGTCGTGTCTGAAGACGCCTTGCGACCCCGTGGACTGTAGCCTACCAGGCTCCCCAGTCCATGGTATTCTCCAGGCAAGAATACTGGAGTAGGTTGCCATTTCCTTCTCCAGGGGATCTTCCCGACCCAGGGATTGAATCCCGGGGTCTCCCGCATTGCAAGCAAACGCTTTAACCTCTGAGCTACCAGGGAAGCCCATATTACCACCTAGAAAGGTCCATTTAGAGTCATCAAGGACAGGCTATAGCAAGAATACTTTCACTAACTCATTGAAGGGCTGATAACAAAGTTAAGCTCAAATTCTGAATTTTCTAACCTGAAATATGAAAAAACCCAGAGTATCAATTAAAAACAAAAAACTGATTTCAACCCTACTTTCTTAACCAGTCTATCATATATTCTTCAGTCCTTTAGCAGATGTGACACAAAATGAGATATAATCCCAGTATTCCCCAAAATGCACTCAGCTGCATACTTCCCAGAAACTTCAATTCTGCCATTAACACAAGTAGCAGTGAGGATAAGGCAGAGAGGAGAAAACCTATGTTCTATTAGAATGCTGGGGTTTCTTCTGTGTTTTTAAAAAATACACAAAGATTAAGTTTTATAACAAAAAGGAATGGTATAAAATCAAATACGTACGATTGAGGCCAATGTCATGGTATGTCAGAATGACTGGTCTGTTTCCCTTCGGCAGGCCTCTGATAGTGACGTGGACCATACCATGAGTTGTTTCTATATCATGTTCCTGTAACAAGAGAATGTGAAGGTCTCAGCAAGAGCAGAACGGACTGCCCAGGCTGCTGAAGTTTCACGATACCCGATTCACCACTTTTTCCCACTAACTGCCGCAGGACTGAACCATAAGCCTACTAGAGATATACGTTACACAGGATATTCCTACTTTTTTTTTTTAAAGAAGTTGAATATTTTATTATTAAATTGTTTATTCTCCTGCAAGGCTGTTGCTTCACTGTATAAAAATAGCACCAGCAAAGACAGTATATTGCAAAGTTAAGACAGTAATATTCTTCACTGGACACTATACAACTAACAAACTTTTCTCCACTGCCAGCTATTTCTAGTGGGAAGATCATTTTGACCCAAATCCAAGGATAGCTGTAAGCAAGTTACAATGTCATATAAGGTATAAGATAACCATGTTATCCTTGAATTACATAATTTTTGTAATTAGTTTTATCAGAGATAATTTCAGGAATTCTGAATAGTATAACTGGAGCCTAGCCTAAAAATCACAGGATGCTGTGGAAAAGATACAGTGTTTATCTGAAGGCATTAGAAAGTTAAGGGGTATTTTCTTCAGGAAACATTGTTACAAGTAGTTTCTTTTGCTAAAAGTTGCTTTTTAAATATCTATCCACCACTAATTTAAGACAACTATGCTAGATTAAGTTGTTTCAAAGTAGTTTATTTAGGGGTTCCATTTTCATTCCTCAATAGATTTTATGTATTTTTCATATGCTTCTTCTTCACTCATTAATTCATCTAGTTCTGAAGGGTTACTGAATGTTATCTTGATCAGCCAACCATCTTCATAACAAGACTTGTTGACAAGTCCTGGATTTTCTGCTAGAGCTTTATTAATTTCTGTTACTTCTCCTGATAGAGGGGAATAGAGTTCACTAGAAGCTTTCACACTTTCCAAAGCACCAAACTCCTCTTGTTTATTCAACTTAGTCCCAACTTCAGGCAGACTACAGTAAACAACATCTCCCAAAGCTTCCTGGGCAAAACTGCTGATTCCCACTGTTCCAACACCGTTTTCTGTTGTTACCAATTCGTGTTTTTCTGTGAATTTCCGCACCGACAGCAGAGCAGGGCCGGTGCGCAGTGCCCGGACGGCACCCGCCCGCAGTCCCCAGGGCCGCGGCGAGCAGGGCGCGCTGGGTGCCGAGATGGCGCGCAGGCTGCCGACTGCGGCCCGCACGCTCCGCACCGCTTGCAGCGCCATGTTCGCAAGGGTGCAGAGGGTCTCCGCGCGGCTCCTAGAGCACCCCGGCCGGCGGGGGCGGGGCGGCCCCGGGCTATATTCCTACTTTTTAATTCTTTCCAGATAAACAGACAAACAAATGAAGAAAAAAATGCACCTTATCTACAAAGTTCACATTCTTAAGTGGGGGAAGCCAGGGTATCTGCTTCACAACTTCAACAATACATTCACAACTGGCTATGGTGAGATCAGCAAGTTGAATAAGAAGCCAGGTAAGACCTGGAGAAAGGCAAGTGAAGGAAGCAGAAGATATGAAGAAGCTGCTGAGTATAGAGGTTTCAGATCCTCTCAATGCATGTTCAGCAATTGATAAATTCGGTAGCACCTATGAATGTGTTTATTTAAAATCTCTCCCATTCCCTGGGAGTTGACCTTCTGTGTCATCCATACAGCACAGGAAGCGCTCTTGGCCACCTGGCTTGCAGACTGTAACCTTATGGTTAGTTCACTGGAGTCAGGTGAACATTTGGTCCACGCTAAGTCCTTCTTTAAGAATGTGTAATTGGGACTAAGAGATTCCATCCTTAGTTTGGTTCTTCTCTTGAAAAGAGAAGTAAACTTCGGAGCTTAAAATAGGCATTTCTACTGCTCTGATTCCTGATTCCAACTGTGTATGCCATTAAGTTCTGAAACATTTCTGGACTGCCTCTGGTTTAAGCTATTTGGGTGGGTCTGTTCCTTGCATCCCAAAGGATCATAACCAAGGCAATGAGTAAAATTTAAGATGTAGTCAGAGCAGAGCTCAGGAACTGAATAAAGCCAGGACAAGATGCAGTAAGAGGTGCTGGGACAGTGTTAAGAGTGGCTGAGTGGAAAATAAAGACTCTGTAGGAAAAGTAACTGAAATTTATTCTAGTCTTCTTCAATATCTATGTTTCTTAAAAATACATCATCATGCCTAGCCTAGTGAATTTTCCTGACAAAGTCTTTACCTATCTCAGGAAGTCTTACGGTAGATGAGATAAACTGTTAGTAAGAATCCTAACAAAGGCAAAGGTCTTCCAACCTAACAATAAACCTCAACAGAGCCTTGGTTTCTTCACTCATGTAGGGCAGAGATAAATCTTACACTAGTTGAACATCAGTGCATCTCAAATTATAGGTCCCAGGCTAGAGCAGATATCTCTATCAAATCAAACCACAAATGACTCAGTATTTCTGCTCTTCTCTATTACTGCTTGCTATCTCCTATTCAAAGGCTTGAAAAAGGGAAATAAGAAAGGAAGGAGAGAATCAGGTACTGTGAACAGGGTTTAGATGAGGGAATCTAGAGACACAAATTCCTGTTGCTGTGGTGGTCAGACTTCCTGGAGAAGGGAATGGCAGCTCACTCCAGTATTCTCACCTGGAGAATTCCATGGACAAAGGAACCTGGCAGGCTACAGTCCATGGGGTCACACACAGTCAGACATGACTGAGAGGCTAACACACAGCGTCAGACTTAGTGAGGAACCTCTCCACCAGGCTCATTCACTAAACAACTATGCATCTACTGAACCCCTACTATCAGACCCTGGGCTGAGCTCTGGGCACAGAACAGTGAGCAAGAGAGATGTGATCCCTGCCCTCGCAGAGATTATGCTCTACACGGGAGGCAGACAAAAAACCAACCAACCATAACAATAGCTTGTGATCAGTATTGTGAAAGAAATAAATAGGATGCTCTTAAAGAAAATTGAGGAGGAAGATATTAACTCTACTAGCAGACAGGAAAGTGCAAATTAAATTCAATATGATGTAATTTCATACATACCAGAATGGCAAAAAATTTTAAGTCATATAATGCTGTTAGTCAAGGTGTAGAGAAATAAGAACTGTCATACACTGTTGGTGTGCAGTAACCAGGAATAGCTACTCTGGAGAATAATTTGGTAACTTCGAGCAAAGTTAAGCAATGTCTACCCTACAGCAGTTTTACTTTTAGGTATAATCTAAAGCAATTCTCAAACATACTCAACACACAAAAAGATATGCAGATATATATATGTATATATACATACACACTGCAGCCTTATTTATAATGTCAAAAAACTGAAAGCAGTCTAAATAGTCATCTGTAAGGAAACTGAAAGTGAAATTATATATTCACATAATGAGATACAGATAAAAATGAATGAACTAGAACTATACGCACTAATACACAGAGAAAATCTTGAAAAAACAATGCTGAATAGAAACACGGAAGGATTTGTATATGACCTATGATTTACATATGCAGATTTTTATAAAAAGCAACATTGCATAGATTGTATGTTTACATACATAAATTTAAAGTGCATGTTTACAATAGCCAGGACATGGAAGCCACCTAGATGTCCATCAGCAGACAAATGAATAAGAAAGCTGTGGTACAGATACACAATGGAATATTACTCAGCTATCAAAAAGAATGCATTTGAATCAGTTCTAATGAGGTGGATGAAACTGGAGCCTATTATACAGAGGGAAGTAAGTCAGAAAGAAATACATTAATATAGTATATTAACGCATATATATGGAATTTAGAAAGATGGTAACGATGACCCTATATGCAAGACAGCAAGAGAGAGACAGATGTAAAGAACAGACTGTTGGACTCTGTGGGAGAAGGTGAGGGTGGGATGATTTGAGAGAATAGCACTGAAACATGTATATTATCATATGTGAAATAGATCGCCAGTCCAGGTTTGACGCATGAGACAGGGTGCTCCGGGCTGGTGCACTGGGATGACCCTGAGGGGTGGGGTGGGGAGGGAGGGGGGACGGAGGTTCAGGATGGGGAACACATGTACACCCATGGCTGATTCATGTCAATGTATGGCAAAAACCACTATAATATTGTAAAGTAATTAGCCTTCAATAAAAATAAATAAATCAATGAAAAAAATAAATCTTTAAAGTGCAAAAACTTGGAGAAGAAACATACATTAACTTTAGACTTGATTCCTTCTGGGCAGTGACCTATTCTGAAAGTGAACTTAAGGAGGCTTTGACCTCTCTCATGTCTTACTTCTAAAGAAAGAGTGAAGAAAGAGGGAGAAGCCAGCCCCTGCCAGAGGAGTGACACGACAGGAGAATCCAAATTGAAGAGACTGGGCAACAATCTGTCATCCGACAATCTAGTTGCTGGAGCCTTCTTTCTGTCATATCCAAGCCTTCAGTACAGTTTTGCTTAAGTATTCCAGCTTGGTCTCAGGTATGCTGAGAAGTGAGTAAAAAACAACTTATAGTTTGGCCCTGGGGTTAGCAGGACCTCCCAAGATCTGATAATTAATGGGGATAGTGTGTGCAGGAAAGGTGGGGGGTGGGTGCGGAGTGAAGGGGTAGGGGATAGTGAGCTGTCAGGGAAGTTCAGATGATGATGAAAAGGGACCTATAACACATGGGGCAAAACAGAACATATTAAAAGTAGACAAGGCAACAGGGCAAAGTATTACTGTCATCATTTCATAATCTGGATGAAATTCAGAGTTAAAGTTGGCTCACAAAATTTCAACTTTTTAGGGAGATCTCAGCTCCTACCTCCTGGGCTCTGTCAATCCTGTTGCCCCATTTGGAGCAACCCTTGGTTACCAGTATCTCATGGGGTTACTCTTCATTTTCAGAGAAATATGGAAAGAAAGGAGACACTCACCTCCATGTGGACCCGTAAATATATCCTTTGTGACCTTACGTGTGAATGGCTTGAACAAGTCTCTACCTAGAGCTGAGTGTGCAGAGACCCTGGCTATGGAGCTGATTCAATGGTCAGGCCAGGG